TAAATTGGGTAAAATTTTAAATAAATGGGTTCACATTTTTGATATTTTTGCATAAAATGGGTCAACTTTTAAGAAAATGGGTCTACATAATTTGTGTTTATGCATAAAGTGGGTCCACCCTATATTGTCCAGCAGTGTTTGAAAATCCTGGCTACGGCATTGCTTGTAACTCAAAAATAACTAGAAATTACAACACAAAAATAATACACTGCAACTGAGCGACAAGACAAAAATGTAATACATTCTAATACAATACGTCTTGTAGCGAGCCTTACACCTTTTTTTTTTATAAGAACCAGTAAAATTTTGCCCAGGCACAGTGTTCTTATTTTTTTTATTTTTTTTTTTTGCCGATTTTTTTTTTTGCTCAAATGTTCTTATTTTGTTATTATTACTATTACACGTTTCAAAGACAGAAAATTATTATTGTACAGCAGTATATTACTTTACATAAAGAATATTATATAGTTACGCCTATGGTACAAATAAGATTTGTTGGTTTTCTTCTTTTTTTTAAATCAAACCGTGTGTTCTTAATTTGTTTAAAAAGTGTAGGAATAGTAGAATAAACAATTCCAGTTACTTTATAATTAAATAGTTGTTAACTGGAATATTATTTACCACTGTTGTGAATTTGTATATGGTTTTTGCAATTTCAACATGTGAAACATGTTCATTTATTAGTTGACAAGATTCACCGTGGCTGTCGGGTGTGGTGGAAAACTAAATTTATCTGGCAATTGAGCTAAACAGCTACAATTAACAATCGCAGATAAACAGGAGGGAGGGCCAGTAACATAAACAAGGAGAGGTTCGTGTAATTAAATGGATGAAATAACTAATAGATAAACAACATTTCTGCTGAAGAATAAAGTTTATATTATCATGAATACGAATGAATAAAGTTTGAAATATAAAAACAGAATGGTTTATCACTTCCTTCTTTAAAGTAGGGATGGCGCCAGCATTTCCCAGACAGCAGGTGGCCCATCGTTCCCAAAGAGATGAGCCTGAGTCCACACCAACCCGAGCCCCAACCATGCTTCATTTCCCCCCTACATTGTAGCGTGTCCCGCCGATGGCTTGGCCAGGCCTCTCTGACGGCCTGGGCCCAGTAGGCCGACCCTCTGGCGCCGCGGCCAACATTGCTTAAAAGTTAGTTTCTACCGTTACAATATAAGGTTATTAAAAAATAGTATATTTACAATAAAATAATATGTAGTCAGCATAATATATTGTAGAGGGTTAAAGTATTTCAAATGGTGTAAAATATGAAATAACAAATAGTTGTAATGTCGCCAATAATGTTAGA